TTTGTACTTGTTTTTGTATTAATTGTGAAGTGATCTATTATTGAAACCATGAGATTTTAGGCACATTATCTAACTTCGATGCCTCAAATTTTGCAACTAAATCATTAGATTATAATTTGTCCTCTAATAAGAAAAAATGATAAGTATAAACTCTTTTAAATGGAAAAGAACTAAATGAAATCTAAGTTACTTTTAGCTTAGAGTTTAATACATTAAATAGTTTTATTAATTTTGTTCTTTCGAGCATTAGAAACTTGGTTGATCAGGGAAGGTTGCAAAACTCCACTCAAGGAAAAAGATATAAACTATTCCTCAAGATTATGATTTTCTTTTGTGTCCCATTATTCTCTCCATTTAGAGAACTATGTTGGATCTACAAAAGACAAAGATGGTTTCTAAAACAAACATCAATAGGTTTCCTAAAGTGAATTCTAATATCAATAGTTTAATGGTTTTGGAATGAGCAGTTTATGTCACCTATCTAAACACAGCTCTACTAAAAACTGCTAAGCAATCCAAATGCCCCAAGTGCTAATGATTAAGGAATAAATATATCAGTTAGTGATAGCTGTCCTAAACTTTGGCACCAAGACTTTAGTTTTGAGGGGAAAAATGATCAAATACACTGCCAAATTCAGGGAGAGCGTTGTAAACTTCACAGGCATACGGTAACAGGAAAAAAGGGTTCTGTTTGCAAACTTCAAATTCAATTCTGAGGAGAGGATATAGACATGCATTAAAAATAAAAAGTACATTGTCCTAGCCGGGCATCATAGCACATGCCTGTAATCCCAGGGGCTTGAGAGGCTGAGGCAGGAGGATCATAGGTTCAAATCCAGCCTCAGCAAAAGAGTAACGCTAAGCAACTCAGTGAGACCCTGTCTCTAAATAAAATACAAAATATAGGGCTGGGGATGTGGCTCAGTGGTCGAGTGCCCCTGAGTTCAATCCCTGGAACAACCCGCCTCTTGCCCCAAAAAGTACATTATCCTGTTGGGCATGAGGGTGGACACCCGTAATTCCAGCTACTCAGGAGGATGAGGCAAGAGGATGAAAGTTCAAGGCCATTCTGAGCAACTGAGGGAGATCCTGTCTCAGAGTAAAAAAGGGCTTGGGATGTAGCTCAGCATTAGAGCACTTGCCTAGCATGTGTGAGGCATGGTAGTATGTGGCTGGAGAATGAGTGTAGTGAAGACTACATTGATCTAACTTTTATTATTATTTTTCTTTTTTGAAAAGATGAGTTCAGTACTTAAAAAATTTGAATAAAGGATATTAGTAATTTCACAAATTTCTGTCTCAGTCTTTTTGAGGGAAAATAAAAAGGATAAAGCATGACAAATAACTCTACAAAATAAAAAAAATATCTTTTTTCTTGCTACAAATAGTTCAGCTGATACAGAAAATAAAAATTGGATATACCAGACTGCCCAAATAAAGACTTTAGAGGCATTAACAATGGAACAAAATTGTAAATGTTAAAGATTTTCAACCTTACACAATAGGTTCATTTTATGATCTGTAGAGTCTTTGGGAAAATCTCAGACATATTATTGTGGAAATAGCTTAGTTACAGAACAGTATTTTATAATTCAAAATGTTTAAAAACTCTATCAGTCCTTATGAACTATAAAAAAGTCTCAAAGCTTTGAAAAATAATTCATTTTCAAACAAGATGAAAAAAACTGTCAGTTTCATTTCTGAACATTAATTTCTTATACATGTATATTAAGAAAAGAGATACAGGGGCTGGGGTTGTGGCTCAGTGATAGAGCACTCACCTAGCATATACGAGGCACTGGGTTTGATCCCCATCACCATATAGAAATCAATCAGTAAATAAAGGTGTTGTATCCAACTACAACTAAAAAAAAAAAAAAAAATTTAAAAAGAGGTAGTCAACTATCACACATTTTTTTTAGCATTAATGAAGTCAGATGGAGAATATAAAAAAAGATCTTTCACTTAAAAACAGTTCAAGTTACTGCTTATGGCAATGAAAAACTGAGAACCTTTAGAAATAATCATATTTTTTCTACTGGTACATATCAATCAATATTTAGTTTAAATTGTCTATCAATTCCCCTAGTTCTTAAGGTGATCTTTGCCCTGGAAAAAAATGAGAATAGTAGACAAAATTTCCCCAAAGTTTTGTTCACTATTCAGTTAAAAAACAAAACAAAACAAAAAAAATACTTGGCACTTATATCTGCTTATTATTTTGAAAAATGTAATTTTGGGAAGAAAAATTTTAATTATTTTTAGGAAGAGCCTAAAGAAACCCCAGTGAGATACTCTGTAGAGAGGTCCTTTGTTAGTGTAACATCTGACCTTCTATATCTTTGGAAATCATACAACTTGGCTAATGTAGTCCTTACAGAATTAATCAAGCAGATTGTAAGGCCCTAGTTACAGTGGAGCCAGCCAATTATGAGTAGCTCAGAAATTCATCACTGGCATGTCCAACCACATTTTCCCACATAAAGATTAGTAGAAATATGTTGGAAACAAGGCCCATTCCCACCCCAGCACAGCTACAGCATGTGCTCAGTGAAATTCAACAAAAGTTTTGCTTTAGTAAAACAATTTGAGAATCTTTTTGATTCCTGTCTTTAACCTAATAACTTCTGCCAACATTGCAAAGACTGCCCTATTTAGTTAAAATCCAACTAGGAACTTTTATATTCAAACACAATTCTCAATTCAGTGCCTGAATTCATAAGTAAGTTGGTAAAATCCCCAAATACAATCTTTTTTTCTTTTTACTTTTGTGATAACACCCTCCTGAGCCTTATACTAAAGAGAAAGCTTTTTCTGCAAGAGGGAAATGAAAGGGGCCAGAGTAGACGAAGATTGGTTCTCTAAGGAGAGGGCAGTGCTGCTCTTAAATAAAGAAGCTCCTTTCAGATAAGCAGAATCAGATTCCAGTTCAGTTGGTTTGCTGGCTACCCTTACTTTGAACTCTCATATTTAACCCAGCAGGCTTCAAAGCAGGTGAGAAAATGACCTACCACTTAAAAGCAATTTTTCCTTTTTCAGGAATTCTGGCCTTGGAGAGTATCAGCTCTGATATCAGCACATTCCACATCACTAGGGATTTATGCAACTTTTTTCATTGCTGTATGTCTAATGTCAGACCAGGTTTTCATCTCAACCAGGAGGAAAAAAAAAAAAAGCCGGGGTGGGGCCCAGGCCTAACTTGTTAAAAATATTAAGTCTTATTCCACAGAGCATTATACCATGCAAAACTAGAGGCATTAAAACCACTACCATTATAGTTCATTCTCTTCTGTTTATCAAAATCTGATGTGCCATGAGAATTATTAAAAACCATTAATCCCCAGTGCCAGGCATCATAAAAATTTATAACAAATACATTTTAAGAAATTAAATTTGAATTTACTCTAGCATGTGAATATAAAAAGTGTTATATGAGGAAAAGATAATGGTAACAATAAATAAATTTAGATTTTTTTTTTTTTTAATTTTGAGACAGGGTTTCATTAAATTACTTAGGCCCTCTCTAAGTGGCTAACACTGGCTTTGAACTTGTGATCCTCCTATTTCAGCCTCCTGAGTCACTGGGATTACAGGCACACACAACCATGCTCAGCTTAGGATATTTTCTTGAATGGCTTCACCTTACCAAGTAAAAATATAAATACATTTCAAACATATTTCATAATCTGGATGTGGTGGTACAGCTATATAATCTCAGCTATCAGGAGGCTAAGAGGGGAGGATGACAAGTTTGAGACCAGACTGGCCAACTCAGACCTTGTCTTAAAATTAAAAAAAAAAAAAAGGGAATATAGCCTAGTAGTAGCAACCCCTGGGTTCAATCCCTAGCATTGGAAAATAAAACAAATACGTACTTCATCCTTTCCCGACTTAACTGAAAATCCTAATAGAGGCAGCTTGCAATATGCCAACAGGCTTTATTCTATAAGGCAGTTTTCCAGTGCCAGAAACTTGAAACAGTTCTCTCTTTGTGGTTCACATACACATAATATGCTAAGGGTATAATGCTAATAACATTGTTTAAATGATACTCAAGTTACCATTTATGCTTCAGTTTCCATGGAAAATGCATTTTGATTAGGATACAACTCCTCCAAACAAGGAGAAGGCTCTTTTGTGACAATGATGACGGGAACAACAGCTAACACCTACTTTTTATTGTGGGGAGACACGGTTCTAAATACTTGATATATTTTAAGCTCATTTAACCCTCACCCAAATCTATCCACAGTTAGCACTATTCTCATTTTACAATTAAAGATAGAAAAGGTTGGGGCTAAGGTTGGGGCTCAGCAATAGAGCGCTTGCCTAGCATGTGTGGGACCCTGGGTTTGATCCTCAGCACCACATAAAAATAAATAAACAAAATAAAGGTATTAGTCCATCTACAACTAAATTTTTTTTTTTTTAGAAAGGGTAGAAAAGGTTAAGAAACTCACCTGTGGCTGCATAGCCAATAAATGTAAGGGCTAGAATATAAAGTAAAGTAGTATGGTCCTCAGAGTCTCTGCTCATAAACACTCTGCAATACTTCTCCATCTGGATGATATGGCACTAGCAAGTGTTCTGCATCCCTCGTATTGGTGAAGGAGAACAGAACAAGGTTTCTTAAGCTTAATATGCATATAGAATAACCTGGGGATGTTGTTAAAATGTAGATTCTGATTCAGGAGGTCTGCAGTGGTGCCTGAGGCTCTGCACCTTTAACCAGTTCCTGGGTGAGGCTGGTGCTCCTAGTGCATGGAGTGAATAACTAGAACTTGGGCCTCTAGTTCCCTTACTATTTTTTTGTCAAGGCATTTTTGTAAGTTGTGTTTATGAACTGGAGACTGCCCATACTATAATTATTTTCCATTAACTTTCAAATGATACCTGCCTTTGGAACTACCATATGAGAAATGCTGCTGTTACCAACCACACAAATACCCAAAGATAGTGAATAAATGTTTGTTTTATTGTTCATCAACTAGAATCACAGTATATCAATAACTTTTGGTCTAAAAAAGAAACTTTTCACTTTCAAATATGTAATTCTTCACTCTCAGATGCTGCTGGAGAAATGCTAAAGAACTTATGCTAAGTAATCTTTAAGACTCTTCAGGTGCAATTAGTGACCTCTTAGGTAAAGGCAGTCACTATACACCAACAAGGATGAATAGAGCATACACTGACTACACTTTGCATTAATTTTAGCTAGTAACTCATGGAACTATACTACTAACAATTGCTACATACCTATTCCAGATTTTAGATCTCCTTGCTCTACACCTCCTCCTTCCCACTCCACTGCCCTGAAAGAAACCCATGGATCATCCCTCCCATTGCTTGCCTGTATCTTTTAAATACACAGGTATGCCTTTTTCCTAGCTATTAAGTGAATGGAATTCCCTTTTTAGTCCTGTTTTTTGTTTTGTTTGTTTTTTCCATACCAGATTACACAGTAAGGTCATTTCAGTTTGAGATGCACTCAATTCCCAATCAGCACACTACAAACAACAGAGTTATGATATAATTAATCACAAACTTCCTTTTTACATTAAAAGGAAACAGAATAGTCAGTTTCCAACTTAAATATCTATACTCCCTGAACAACAGTGGAAATTCATTCTTCTTGAAGCCTGTCCCAGAATCAATGCATTCTCAGACTCCCAGGCCTATAGCCAATGGCAACTTAACACATTGTACAGTTGACCTGCAGGGAGAAAGGGAAACCAGTGCTCTTACCACTGGTGCCAGAGAAAGCCAACTAGTCTGTAAGGCACACAATAAACTATTCTTAAGGCAAGCAAAGAAATTGTGAGGGAAACAGGAAGTCAGAATGGAAGCATACAGGAAAAAAATACAGAAAATAGAAGTCCAAGTAAGGACTAGTTTTTCTATGGCTCTGAGTGCTTTTATATTTGGGAATATAATGAATCAGCATTTTAAATATTTTCAGGTTTTAACTTTTATTACCCAGTAAGAYTGCAAAGATGACAAGAAAAGATGGATTTCTAAAAAGTCTTCAGAGATTTTAGGAGAATTATCTTTGGTAATTTTACTTTGAGCCAGTGACAATAATTAACAAATTTATATAGAAGAATGAATAGTGATGGAACAGCCTCTTTAATATCAGTCCTTAAGTACTTAGTGAGTTGGGAAGTGGACAATTCAAAATTAAAGAGTAAATATAAAAATAAAGGCCTATCCATAGCTCTATATCCAAGATTTTGGAAGGTCTACATGAACAAACAGACAAATTAAGAGAACCTTTGAATATAGAAGCACATTTTAAATGCAAGGCAAACATACTGTCGGATCCATTTTACCTACTTATTCTCCATCCTAGTTGATTTTCAAGTTCAGCAAATCCTTAGAACTAGTGATTTAATGTAAATGGAAAAATCAAAAGGCTTGTTTATAAAACAGGGAACTTATTCTTTTTTTGTACTGAGTATTTAACTAAGGGGCATTTTACCACTGAGTACATCACCAGTTCTTTTTATTTTTGAGACAAAGTCGAGCCAAGTTGCTGAGGGTCTTATTAAATTGCTGAGGCTGGCCTCGAACCTGTATTCCTCCTGCCTCGGCCTCCCACATTGCTGGGATTACAAGCATGCACCACCATGCCCAGCAAAACATGGAGGTTTTTAAAGGCCAAAGAAAGTGCAATAATGTTAAAAAAAAATAATTTGAATGTTCTTTATCTAGTAGTGAATGCTGTTTATCACTAGAAGTTATCTACAAAGAACAACTTCATAAAGTTATAGCATTATATTCTTTAAATTTTAAAGCAACAGAAGTATATAGCTCAAATCACCAGAAATTTATGTTTGACATATTTGTGGTAGTATCTTTACAAATTGATTCCTGTAATTTACTATAACAAATATCTTTCACTGCTCATCTGGGTTAGTTCAAACAAACCAGAGATGGTGTCTTGTGTGTTTTACAAATATTCTACACAAGTCCTTGAGATCATACTTACAGCTTTAGCAAAAACACCCATGATTTCAGGAAATTGGTGAGTGAGAAGGGCTATCATTGCTGTAGAAGAACACAGTCCTGCTGTAAAATGGATGAAAAAAGGAAGCTCCTTCTTCGGATAAACAGAAACATGATGAAAGGCTGCAAAGGAAAAAGAGAAGGAATGAATTTTATTTTACAATATGATGTAAACCAGTCTTAATATTTTCAAATTAAAGTTATATATCTAAAAAACCAAAAGGAAAAATTTTTAAAGAAAAAAGTTATCTCTAGCCAAGGAAGGTAAAAGAAATTAATCCATTATTAATTCCAGCATCAACAGTATATCCACATAGCCAGATGACTGTTTTGGGGTTTGGGAACAGGATGGTATCGTGGGAAAGAACATTGTTTACAAAGTCATGCTGAGGTGGTTTTGAAAAAGAGCTTTGTCACTTATTAGCTGTGTGATCATGAATAAGTTGCTAAACCCTGTAGAAGTTGCTATGGAGTTGTTATGATGAACACTGTAAGTACTCAATAAATGAAAGTTGTTATTAGTTTTTCTTCTGTGGAAGCTAAGACTAGTATAAAGAAACAGACATGTCATGGGGATTCCTAGAACCACCAGTTAATAATAATTTTACACAGTTAAATATGTTCTATATGTGCCTTTCATTGAGCACTGTAAAAATTAAACTAGAAAACCAAAGCCCTAAAATTCTGGCTGTAAATGAATCCTTTGTCTTATTTTACCACATTTACATACTCATGTACCATTTTTCCAGTGGCTACAGATTTCATTACCAATTATACTCAAGTATTTATATTTTATTTAAAATTTGAAAATATCTGAATAATAATATGGAGATGAGCCTATTATAGTGCCTGACACACAGTAGGTACTCAAGAAATTTCGTTAAACTTAGAGCTATTATAAGACTTAGAATAACTCAGGAAGTTGACTGCTCAGGGCTGGACACTAACCCAGGAATTCCTGATGTAATATCCTGCATTAGTAAGGGATGACTAATTCGGTGCTGAACCAAGGTCAGCTATAAATTTCACTTTTTTAAACATAATGATTAACAGAGAGGATTACACCTAAGCTTCTTTCAATAGCTTTATGCATCATATTATATTCAAAGTATATATGAAAAGCCAAACTCATTTTAAAAATCCAGAAAATTGCCATAACTTTGAGCCATGTTTAAAGTAAAAACACAATGGAACTGAATTTTTTTAAAAATTAGAAACATTAGAAACTGTAGACAACATTGTGCTTTAGCACCCAAAGAACCAGTAATCCCCTTTGCCCTATACATCAGCTATGAAGTTGACTTCTTCCAGCAAACCAAGAGAAACAAACTCTGATATTTTAGAAGGCAGGGAATAAGACAGTAGAATTAATAATATTAGCTAAACAGTATAGCATAGCTCATAAAGTGCTCATTTGATTATTTTTCAATAACCTTGACATAGATAGCCTTCTTCCCATTTTATAAGGTAGAAAACTGCATAGCTTTAGTGGGAACATTTTCTAAAATATGAGATTTTTATACTGTAGAAGAGAACTAATTATTTCTTTTTGAATTGCTTTCTGTAGATTCATTTGTCAGTCAATGTTTGGCTAATACATCAATATAATGGATGACTGACCAGTACAGAAACACTCCCTTGGAACGAAAGTTCAAATTTCATCATTGGCTTGTAGAGAAAAATTTATCAGGAGGCATAAAAGACAAGTAAATAGCTATGTGAACTAGGGGAATAGTTCAAGCCTGAACTTATGAGGTCCATAAGCAAATTCCAGAATGCTGTAAGTCATATCAAGATTGAAGGAGAATTAAAAACAAAAAACATTAAGTGCTCTTGGGTATTAGAACTCCACATTATTAAAAAGTTGTTCATTATAACAGAAAAGTAAAGAGACAGAAAAAAATAGCAATATGTACTGTAATCAAACAAAATCCTCCAGTCATCTACTTCTACCTCCTGGAGTTTACACCTATATGGATTTAGAATTAATACAGGCTTGCCAAAAAATAAACTGTCTGGTCTTATAGCTTATGGCTCAACATATAAAAATAACTCCTGTTTTATTAATATCAATATGTAAAGTGGGCCTTATATTAGACAACCCTTGTAATAATTTACAAAGAAGCATTATTTTAATTACCTTACCTAATATCTCAGATACTCCTTATTTGAAATTTTTTTTCTTCCTTTTGGTTTCTAGGATATCTACTTCTGGCTCTTGTTCTGGCTTTCTGAACACTCCTTCACTAAATTCTCAACTATTTTCCTGCCATCAGTTCCTTAGACATTTTTGTGCCCCCATGGTTCTACACTTAGTTCACTTCTTACACTATATAGTTTCCTTGAGAGATCTCAATCATGCCTAAGACTTCTTTTGCTATCTAGAGATATATAGAGAAAGAGATGCCAGGACCCCTGGAAATTTTATTTACATAGCCTGGTCCTGTCCTTAGGAGACAGCTAAATGGACCAGAAATAAACATGTGGATAAATCTGACTCTCTTTCGTAGAAGTTGCAAGATTGAGATATTATTCATTTTGCATTGTTTGTGTGAACTGATGACATGTAAACACAAAGCCACAGGGGCATCAAGTTAGACCTCTTCAGTGTCTACAAAAGGAAAGTCAAACTGCAAAGAGAAAGATATAATAAAGTAGATAAATTGGGAGAAGCAGAAATAAGAAATCATATAAAAATAAGGAGGCAGGAGTTGGGGGATGTGGCTCAGTGGTAGAGCAGTAACTAGCATGCACAATGCCCTAAAACCCCAGCACACACACCACACACACACACACACACACACACACACACACACACACACGAGGCAGGATGAGAAAAGACAAACAGAAAGTGAGAACAGGAAAAACTGAAAAAAGAGAGCCAGAGATATGCAGACAACTGGCTTCTAGAAATCCTAGTGGCCATTTACTTCCTGATCATATCTTTTATGACATCCAACTATATAAGTGTTGTTTTGGGTTTTTTGATGACTTGGTGTTTTTCCAACAAATTCCCATTTATGATGAGGTTAGAATGGTTCTCTTTTACTTATAACGAGAGTATGTCTCCAACATCTATTATGTGTATATCATATACATATACTTTACTATATATATACACACACACAAATACATCTTAGACACATACATTATACAGATACAAAATATAAAGACTTATGTGTATGTAAAATTGATTATGTAATATAATATTTAAGTACACATATACACACATATATTTATACACATAAACATACATTTGTACATAAATAAGTACAACATTATACAAACAACATAATCAAAGCTTGAACTTATCTATTTTCTCCACCTCTATTCCCAAACCTGCTCCTCCTGATATAGAAAAGATCTGCCATTCTCAGAGTCACTGAAGTCAGAAAATTGAGATTCATCCTTGATTTCCTGAAGAGATAGGCTCAAAGTTTCCTTAAAATCTATTCCAAACATATAGCATTTAACACATTTGTTTATCTATCAGTAACTTTCTATTAACCATGAGCAGCCTAGGAGTTCAGAATAGGGTAGGGAGGAAAAGATACTAATTTTTAACATTTTGTTGATTACTTACAATGTGCCTGGCATCTTTAGAAGAATAAGTTAATGAATCTAACTAATTTGAACAAAATTTATTGAATTATCTTTTATGGCGAACCTTATAAGAGAGAATTACAGGGACAATAAAGAGAATCCTGGCCCTCAAAGAGTTTACAATCTAATGTGCATATATGATTATACAACCAATGTAATTCTACATGATGTATAACAAGAAGAATGAGAAGTTATACTTCATATATGTATAATGTTTTAAAATACATTCTACTGTCATGTATAACTAATAAGAACGAATAAAAAAGATCTATATAATTAAAAAAAGAGTTTATAATCTAGAAGAGGAGCTCTCAAAGTGCTCAGTATATTTATCTCAGCAGATGATGGAAAATAAACGACCCTAGGAGAGAAACAGCAGCATACTTAGTTTGCCATAACCTCTCCACTAGTATATTCATCTATCTGAACTTTTCAGCTTATTAAATTTGATGGTTGTAAAACTGCAACTTTACTTCTCTAGTCTTCAGTTCTAATAGTTCAGTATAGTAAAAACTGGCACAGATTTTCATCATGAGAAAAGACGGTACTAGTGTTTAAACCCTTTCACATGCTTACTTATCAGTTAAATCATAAAATATAAAGTTAAACAGAAATTTAACAGTTCACATAGAAAAGGAGTGAGGCCAAGTTTAGATTACTCTTTTAAGAATTCCTTTGATAGTTTATTCTTTCTTCCTAAAGGCAGAGACTATACTGAAATACTCTCAACAATCTTGAACCCACTGATTTCTGGTTCTTCACTTCTCCTCTGACTGTTCTTCAAACTGGGAAAGGTAGCTCCTCTAACTTTGTTCCTTATAAAAACTGTCTGGGGGCTGGGGATGTAGCTTAGTGGTAGAACACTTCCCTGGCAAAGACCTAGGTTCAATTCCCAGTACCACAAAACAAACAAAAACTGTTCTGGCTAATTTGGGTCTTTCCACATAAATTTTAGGGTCAGATTGTTATTTTTTTGCAAAATCACTCCTGGGATTTTGATGGAGATTGTATTAAATCTATAGATTAATTTGAGGAAAACCTCCACCTAAATATACTGGGTCTTTCAATAAATCAACATGAAATGTCTCTCCATTTATATAGATTTCTGTCAGCAATTTTATACTTTTTAGTACAGTTGCAATTTTGTTAAATTTATTCCTAAGTATCTTAATCTCTGTTATTGAGATTAGAATTATTTTCTAAATTTCACTTTTGTGATTTTTATTGCTAGTATATAGATACAAAATCAATTTTTTTTTTCGCTAGGAATCAAACCTAGGGCTAATGCTTATTAGGCAAGCATTCTAACACTGAGCTATACTCCTAAACCCAATATTTGAATGTTGGTCTTATAGACTACAACACTGCTAAACTCATTTATTTGTTCTAATAATATTTTTATGAATTTCTAAGGATATGTTACATAGCAGATCATATCATGTCATTTGTGAATAAAAGCGGTTTACTACTTCTTTGTCAATATAAATGACTTTTTTTTCCCTGTGGCGGATTACACTGACTATGACCTCTAGTTCAATATTGGATAGAAGGTAAGAATTGGTATCTTGGCTTACTCCTGATATTAAGGGGAAAGCATTAAGCATGATTTAATTGTTTTTTGTGGACACCCTTTATCAAGTTGAGAAAGTTCCTTTCTATTTGTAGTTTGAGAGTTTTTATCATGAATGGGCGTTTGATTTTGTGAATATTTTTCTGCATCTATTGTCCTTTATTGACACAGTATTGTCATTTTTTCAGATGTTAAACCAACTGTGCACTTGTGAGGTAAATCCCACTTGGTCATGATATATAATCCTCCTCTTATGTTGCTGAAGTCAGTTTGCTAATACTTTGTTGAAGATGTCTGTGCCCATATTCATAAGATTTATTGTTATAGTTTTTTTTTTCTTTTTTGTGGTACTGGGGATTGAACCCAGAGCCTCATGTATGCTTGGCAAGCACTTTTCCTTTGAGTTACACCTCTAGCCCTAATCCATTTTATTTTATTTAAAGAYGGGGTCTCACTAAAATGCTGAGGCTGGCCTTGAACTTGCAATCATTTTGCCTCAGCTTCCCAATTAGCTGGGATTACAGACCAGTACCACCATGCCAGGTCTCAGTTTTCTTTTCTTATTATGTCTTTGTCTGGTTTTGGTATCAGGATCTCACCAAATGTGTTAAGGAATGTTCACTCCTTGCTATCTGCTTTCTGACATGAGTTTGTGAAGGGTTGGTATTACTTCTTTAAAAAATGCAAGTAAGAAGACTGTTTTTCTTTACTTTTTGTGTCCTTAATTGCATCTAGCACAGAATTTTGAACAATAAATATTTGGACATCAATTGAATTATGAAATTAGTCCTATAAGTAGTTATAAAACTATTTAAACAGTGTTCCAAATATAAACAAAAAGGACTTTTAAAATGGACAATACTTAGGAAATGCTGTGGTTTGATTGTAGTTTGTATCTCCTCCCCCTGAGGTTCATGTGCTGGGAACTTGGTCCCTAGGATAGCCAGTATTGGGAGATACAGCTTTCAAAAGGTAGGGCTTGGTAGGAGGTCCTTGGATCATAGGAGGCATGCCCTTTGAGGGATTGTGGGAAGCTAGTCTCTCTCTGCTTCTAATTCAAGATGAATCACTTGATGTTTCTGCACATGTTCCTGCCATTGTTATCTGCTTTCTGACATGATGCTGCCACCATGACCACAGAGCCTACACAATGCCATTTCAAATCCCAAAACTGTGAGCTAAATAAATCTCTTTTTTTCCACAAGTAGCCTATGTCAGGTATTTTGTTGCAGTGATGAAAAGGTAACTAATAGAGAAAACAACCTAAAAGTCATCTAAACAATTATAAGCTTAATAAAACTAAAATATTTACTTACTAGGTAAGAGCTCTCTATCAGCAGTCTCTGTGCAGCTAGGATAAGGGTAAAATAGATGTCCTTTCTCTAATGGGTATGGAATCATTCTAAAAGCTGAAAAAAAATACATATGTTGACATTCAATTCTGTCTTATTTATCATCTAATGTATGCTATAAATAAAAAACTTATCTTGGAGATATACTTTTAAAAGTCTTTATATAATATTTTATTTTCTTTCTTAGAGTAACATTTTAGATGAAAGACACACAAAAGCAAAAGAATGAAACAGAAAAAGAATAGGCAAGACTTATAAGAGTCTGGAGCCTTCTTTGTCTCAGTCTCTTCATTACAATCATGGACTTAACTCCACAAGTATAAATTCTGCTCCTAACAGGAACCTTCATAAAACTATAATGTTTATAATTGTTGTGGTCCTAACTATTGGCAAACTAAAGGAGATCTAACTTCACATGTGAGGTTCACCATGTGAACCTTAATCTAGTTCAGGGATCACCAAAGTGCACCCCTTTGGCTAAATAACTTTTTGCTATATTTTGTTTTGTTAGGGATCAATCCTAGGACATGGTTCATTCTAAGTGAGAAATCTACCACTAAGCACACCTCCAACCCAAACTGTTTGTTTGATTTTTTGCCTTTTTTTTTTTTTTGTCTTTTTTAAGACAGGGTCTTGCTAAGTTACCCAGGCTGCCCTCAAACTTGTAATTCTTCTCCCTAAGCTTCCCAAGTAGCTGCGATTACAGGTGCCCACCAGTGTACCTGGCTCTACACTATTTGTGTAAATAAAATTTTATTGGAACATAGATAGGCTATTCATGGGTTGTTTCTGTGCTATAAGACTTGAGTAGATGTACAAAGACTAGAAGGCCTGCAAGGTCTGAAATAATTATTCTTGGTCCTTTACAGAAAAAGTTTGTCCACCCTTAATTTAGATCATCACCAACTCTTGAAGAATTATCAAGAAATCCTTAATGATCTATTCCACTAAATAGTCATCAAAATCATGATAAAGTTTTTGTTTTTTTCTTTAGTGGTTAGTTCTAAAAATGTTTGTCAAAATACAGATTTTGTTTGCCACAAAGTAGTTATTTGCCCAAACTTATTCAGCAAATCAGTTATCATTTGAGGAAATCATTCATTAAGATACATAAAATGGGGCTAGGGATATAGCTCAGTTGGTATAGTGCTTGCCTTGTATGCATAAGGCCCTGGGTTTGATCTCCAACACCACAAAAAAAAAAAAAGAAGATACATGAAATACAGTATAAATCATAATATATTTATTGAAAATAATCATATTGTTATTGGAAATTCCTTATGTTTCAAGCAGATGGACAGGCACTAAAAATACATGTAAGATGAATGAGATAGAGCACCTGGTTTTGAGGGCCTTAGAGATCACTGACAAAGTCTAATTACTCAAAAACAAAAAAATAAAGCATTCAGCAACTCAAGTTCATAATCTCAGGGTTTTGTTGTTTTGTTTCATTTTATTTCAGTATTAGGGATTGAATCCAGGGACATTCTACCACTGAGTTACATCTTCTATCCTTTTTGAAAAAATCTGAAGACATGGTCTTGCTAAATTAAATTGCCCAGGTTGGACTTGAATTTGTGATGCTCCTGCCTCAGCCTCCTGAGTTGCCACCATGACCAGCTCATAAACTCAGTTTATTAATCTTATTATTGTCAATGTCAAGCACAGAGTACAACTGTTAGCAAATGGTTAATACAGAGGTTCCCAAATTTTCTTGGTTCAAGGACACATGGTGCCCTTTGTGACTGTTTTACTTTTGTTTGTTTGTTTGGTTGGGTTTTGGAGGAGATACTGGGGATTAAACCCAAAGCCTCACATGTACTAAGTGCATTCTATATTTTTCTTTTGTTTTGTGGTGCTGGAGATTGAACTCAAGTCCCCATGCATGCTAAACACGTGCTCTATCACTGAGCTACCCCCTCCGCCCTGTTCTAATATTTTAAAAATTGAACTGGTTTTGTTTTTTGGGGTAGCGGGAATTGAACTGAGGGGTACTCAACCACTGAGACACATCCCTGGCCCTATTTTGTATTTTTGTTTAGAGACAGGGCCTCACTGAGTTACTTAGCAACTTGTTTTTGTTGAGGCTGGCTTTGAACTCATGATCCTCCTATCTCAGCATCCCAAGCCATTGGGATTACAGGTGTGCACCACCACGCCTGACTTTTGTTTTGTTTTTAGATGTAAAACTATTTTCCTCATGACTACTACTAACTCTATTCTCATTTTTTAACATGGTAAAATACAGGTAATGCAAAATTTACCATTTTAACCACTTATGTGTCTAGTTCAGTGGTATTATATATATTCACATTGTTGTGCAACCATTATTACCATCTATCTCCAGAACTCCTCCATCTTTCCAAAATGAAATTCAGTATACATTACATAATAATTCCCATTCTCACCTTTTCCCAACCTTCTGGCAACCAATGCACTAGATACCTGCCTTGTTTGAGTGGAATCACACAACATTTGAGTGTCTGCCTCATTTCTCTTAGCATAATATCCTTGATTAGTACAACAGCACAACCACATTAAAAAACTTATAAATCAAAGGGGCATACATTTTCATTTTCTTTCTTTACATTTAACTTAAATGAACAAATGGCAAAATATCAACAGTTTCTCAATCTGCTTTTCTTAAATGGGGCATTAATATAAATACACTAACTATTTCTTCTACAATAAACCAAACATAATGCCGCTGAGCTCTCTTTGAAACCAACCTTAACAACAAATCCTTACAGAAACACAGACAATCTCATTTAAAAAGTCTGCCCATGAATACAATGAATAGTCAGAGATTAGTATTACATTTGGAAAAAAATACTTACTGCCTTCCCATGTACATTGCAACAGATTAAGAGCACCTTCTATTCGTTTCCAGTGCTGAAGATGAAAGAAAGCATAGGCAATTGCTTCACTATCACCTCGTTTCAAAATGTGTTCTGGAGGTAAAATTAAACTTTTCATCTCTAGTAAATACTGCAAGAATAACATGCACATAAACAAACAACAGAAAAAGAAATGTTAAACTGTGTTAAATTCAAACACCCACAAAAACATACTCAAAATGTTATAAAGCAAATTCATTAAAAACACATTAATCTTCATGAAATGACATGAAGGTCCTACAGAAACTTGTGTATAAACTGCTTATATATGCAAATTCTAAAAATCAGAATGTTCCTATAGGTAAAAATAAGGCAATACATGGCTTATGTGACCTTGCTAAATACAAAATGAAGACTCAAGCGCAGTAAATGTGAGAATATTTTTAAATGTGAAATTATCAAATACAGTTTTGAAATAATACTTTGTGACAACATTCAATTCTTTTTTTCTTTTATTCCCATTTCATGGGTAAAAAAACAATTGTGGAAAAAATGCAATTAAATTAATACTTATTGAATGCAAACACTGTGCTTATTAGGGAATACCAAAAACAAAAACAAAACAATAAAAAAAACCCTACCTGTTCTCTGGAGCTTCATATTATAATGGAAAGATTTCTTAATAAGTATAACCAAACTATGTCAAGGGTCTTACTAGAGGTACAAACAATGTACATGGCCACAAGGATAAGAAATTGTTTTTTGTTTTCATTTTTTAAAAACAGCTTTATTGAGATACAAATTCACCTTAGAATTTACCCAAAGTGTACAATTCAATGTTTTTTATTATATTCACAAATGTGTGCAACCATTGCACATATTTCAAAAGGTAACACTGTACCCTTTTATCATTCTCTACTTCCTCATTTGCCTAACACCCTTAAGCAAGCACTAGCCTATTCTGTGTTTCTATAAATTTGCCTGTTCTTGACATTTCATACAAATGGAATCTTATCATATGTGGTCCTCTGTGGCTATTTTCTTTCATTTAGCATATTTTCAAGGTATATCCAGGTCATAGCACACATTGGTACTTCATTCTTTTTTATGGTTAAATAATATTCTTGTGTGTGTGTGTGTGTGTGTGTGTGTATTTTTAATTCATCAATAGACAGATATTTGGTTGTTTTTACCTTTTTACTATTTTGAATAAGACAGATAAAAATATTTGTGGGGCTCGGGATGTGGCTCAAGTGATAGCGTGCTCTCCTGGCATGCGTGAGGCACTGGGTTCGATCCTCAGCACCACATAAAAATAAAATAAAGATATTGTGTCCATCTAAAACTAAAAAATAAATATTTTAAAAAATATTTGTGTACAAGTTTTGTTGTGAACAATGTTTTCATTTTTTTTTAAGGAATTACCTTGGAGCAGGAGCGCTGCATGCATGATAACTCTGTTTAGGAGATATTATGATTTAGGGTCTAGAGATAAACCACTTTATGGGATTTGAGCTAATATTTAAAGATGGATAGAAACTGGATAAGCAGACTGGGAGTAAGGAGTGAAGAGAAGAACCAAAGGACATATTCAAAGAACAGGCTCTTCTTGAAAACAGGCACTGAACCAGAAAAGCATAGCGCAAGATGCATTGAAGGTATTGGTGAATATTCCTGTTATAGTCTATCAATTCTTCTTCATATATGAAACTGAATTCTCTCTCAAATGCTTCAGAAAAATACTCATCCTAATATTTTAATCTATAACAAAAGCAGTGTAATCACAGTTATCACAAATCATGTATAATACTTTTGGGAAGAAAGATACAAAATTAACCACTTGTATGTTATCTTTACTATTAAGTGCTCAACTTAAAACCTTTTTAAAAAATGTTTAGTTAGTTAAATACTTCCTCCAAAGACTGAGGCCAGAATGCACTTCCCTTCTATAACCAGACTGAAACAACCTCTTTAGTCCTAAACAACTGGATGTTAATTATGAGTCATAAGGTCCAAACCATATTAACTCTTTTGTAAAATATAAAAAGAGAAACATTCCAGATATGTCTCAGAAGAGATACTCTCACATTTCAAGTTAAAGTATCCCAGGCTGTTAATATAAACTGCGGTAACTATAAATTAAAGAGCTGAACTTGTAAAACACTTAAAGACTTCTTATAAGCAATAAAATTCCAGGGAGAATTTTAAAATCAAAAGGTTATAGTGGTTTCAAATTTAAACCTTAGGTTATTAATACATAGGTATTCATCATATTGATACATCTGAAATAATTTCTTCTTTATGAAATGTGCCGCTCCAATTATTACTGAGCTAATGCCCATCTTTAATTACTTTTACTCTTGATGTCTCTCTATGGCTCTGTCCTCAAAGTGTAAGAATGCAGTCTGCTCATCGATTTATTTTAGCAGATGTCACAAACTATGAGATTATTTACTAATCCAGTTTGGGGACTTAACATTTCCCATTCAGTTTCTTAAAGGAATGCAGCAGAGGTTGTGTCCTGGTCAAGCAAAGCCCATTTGCTGCCTGGTTGGGTTTTTTCCCCTTAGTGCCTTGGGCCTATATTCAAGAGGGTAATATTCTTTCTAATCCTCTCTAATCCTTGCCCATTTTTTTGAAACACAGTAAAAGATCACTCACACCAGGCAGCTGTGGGAAAAAGGAYTCAAATAGCTGACCTCTGACATGACTCCTTACGCTCTTTGCAAGTGCACTAAGAGCTTCTTCAGTAAGATGCAAAGAAAATGTGGTAATCAGTGCCTTCACCATCATAAAAAGAGTATCTCATTTTCAGAAGAAAACTGTTTATTTCTTAAGCCAGGTACTTTTGATTGAAATTCTGCTTTATTTTATAGAGAAGATAAAATTCCAAATCATTTTTAGAGAGTTTTAGAACCCAACAGTTTAAAACCCCAATTTAGCATACTGATAACCACTTAGCAAATGTAACCAAAGTTATTCAGTTAACAATGATTCAGTAAAACATGCGTTTCAGAAACTATCGATTTGATTTATCAAGAAAACACTTTTTGAATAACTATATACCTATATTTTCACTGCTAAATAATCTTACGTGTCAATTCAGATAAGAATGAACAACATATGACATCCATTAGGAAATTATAATTCAGGATTTTATATTTTTAAATATTTTGTTATTTAATTATTTTTTATACTACCTTATTTTTTACATCAGCAAATGTGCTTTTCAATTTGACTTTAAAGCAAAGCAATTTTTCAATTTGACACTGAAATAAAATTTGATTCCCAAAATATAAGAGAAATATTTCAATTTATGAAAAATGTATCGAAAGAGCTCAGGGCAAGTTTATGGTAAAGTGTGTGCTAAGCATGCATAAGGCCCTAGGTTCAATCTCTGGTGCAAGCATGTGAACACACATACGAGCATTTAAAATAAGTTACAGTTTTATATTTATTTGATCACCTTCATAAAGTGATATTCTGGAATTTCCGCTACATATGCTGTAAATTGCTGCACAATAAAAACTATCTTTCATACTCTACTATAGCATCTAAAATATTACAGTACCCAAAGCAAACACCAAAATAATGAACTGAGCTGACCTGATATACACAGCTAAAATATTTTAAAATTCATATTTCAGGTTTTACTTAAAGATATTTTCTGATTCTCTGCGCAAATTAAAACCAAACAAAAACAAAAAACCTCCAACCCCCACTATAATATACTGACTCCATTTTTCTCCCAAAGTAGGATCAAACTGTTATGAATCATTTTTTACTTCATACATTTTGTAATCTGTATCTATATAAATCTAACAGTTAAAATTATTATAGAGTAGTCCATTAAAAATGGAATTAAACTGGGCATGATGRCACGTCTATAATCCCAGCTTACTTGTGAGACTGAGGCAGAAGGATCTCAAGTTTGAGGCCAGCCTAGGCAACTTGGTAAGACCCTGTCTCAAAATAAAAAATAAAAAGAGGGTTCAGTGGTAAATGTTCGCTGGGTTTAATTCCAGAATTGCAAAATAAAAAAATAAATAAATGTGAATTATTTTATAATGTRAGAAATAAGATCATACTGGAATTCACTACCATCCTTAAAAGGTTAAAAACAGTATCATTAACCAAAATTCGTAAAACGTTTTAAAAAAATGGCTTAAAAAGTTCAAGAAATGATGGGCATAGTTTTGCACTCTGAATTTAACTCAGTCTTTCAAGCTACAGACATGTCTATTTACCAATATTTATTGAGTGCCTGTCATATGCTAGGTGGAGTACTGAACATAAAATGAATAAGAGCTCTGCTCTTATTCACAGGGAATAGGGAGAGAAATATAAATGAGACCAAAAACAAAGAAACAAAAGATATGATTGAACGAACAGAGGAAAGAACCATTATCTCTACTTGAGAAAACTGGGACAGACTCTATTAAAAAGGAGACAACAATGGGCACGGGCTTGGGCAGTGAGTAGGAACTTGCCAAGTAGAGAAAAGACTGGACATATATACAATGGTAGTAGGATATGATGAGACATGAAAGATTATTATGAACAGTGACACTGGAGATAAGAAGGCAGAAGTGACAAGGAGTAAGGCTGGAGACCCAGACTGTGAAGGGCTCCTATATGCATAGTACTAAGGCATTGGTTCTTATCCTGTATGTAATAGGAAATAAGTAAGGCCTTTAAACAAGGTAAGATTTAGTAGGTAGACAACTCTGGTGACAGCCTGAGTGGAGAGGGGCTGATGGCAGGGAGACCACTAAGAAATCTGCCTTAATAGCTCACACAGAGACCGTAAAGTACTGAGGTGATTTCTATATCTGTGGTGCTTAGATATGCATAGAAAATGTCTGGCAATATATACAACAAACACMCAGAGGTTACTTCAGAGAATTAAAATTGGGAATTAGGGAGCTGGGATTGTGGCTTAGCRGTAGAGCGCTCACCTAGCAAGGGCGGGACCCGGGTTCCATCCTCAGCACYACATAAAAATAAAATAAAAAGATGCTGTGTCCACCGAAAACTAAATAAAATTGGGAATTAGACGACTGGGGATTTTTTACATTACAAACTCCTGAAAGTGATTTTTTTTTTCCAAAACCATCCACTACTTTTATCATAACAATGGTTTCCTTTTTT